AACTCAACGCTGCTTAAAGGTCTTCAGATCTCCCACTCTTTCTAGCTTGCTTGACTGTTATACATTTTTTTCTCTTTTGGGCTGGTCTTACATGCTTCTCCACCCACCTACTCACTCACCCCCACCTCCCCACCCTCGAATTCCCCTACACTGGGGCATCCAGCCTTCACAGGACCAAGAATCATTTCTCCCACCTATGCCCAACACAGCCATCCTCCCCTACATATACAGCTGGAGCCATGGGTCCTTCCCTATGTGCTCCCAGGCTGGTCGTTTGGACCCTGGGAGCTCTGGTTGGTTGGTATTGTTGCTCTCCCTATGGGGCCACAATCCCTTTCAGCTCCTTCAGTCTTCTCTCTAACTCCTTCATTGGGAACCCCATGATCAGTTCAATGGTTAGCTGTGAGCATCTGCCTCTGTGTGTGTCAGGCTCTGGCAGACCTCTAAGGAGACTGCTATATCAGGCTCCTGTCAGCATGCACTTCCTGGTATCCACATCAGCGTCAACCTTTGGTGACTGCATGTGGGATGGATACTCAGGTGGAATAGTCTCCAGATGGCCCCTCCTTTAGTTTCTGTCCCACACTTTGTCTCCATATTTGCTCCCTTGAGTATTTTGTCACTCCTTCTAAGAAGGACCGACACACTCACACTTTGGTCTTCCTTGTTTGTGAGCTTCCTGTGGTCTGTGAGTTGTATCTTGGGTATTTCAAGCTTTTGGGCTAATATCCAGTTATCAGTGAGTGCATACCATGTGTGTTCTTTTGTGATTGGGTCACCTCACTCAGGATGCAGAGTCAATGCAATCCCAGTTAAAATTCCAACTCAATTCTTCATAGAGATAGAAAGAGCAATTTACGAATTCATTTGGAATAACAAAAAACCCAAGATATCGAGAACTATTCTCAACAATAAAAGAACTTCTAGGGGAGTCACCATCCCTGACATCAAGCTGTACTACAGAGCAATAGGGATAAAACTGCATAGTATTGGTACAGAGACAGGCAGGAAGATCAATGGAATAGAATTGAAGACCCAGAAATGAGCCCAGACACCTATGGTCACCTGACCAGCGCTTTTAAAAGGGAATGAGGAAGTGGACACATGCAGAAGGATGATGGTATAAAAAAGTGGAGAAGATTCTGAGGCTGAGACAGCACAGTTCAAAATTTAACAGCAATCCAGTCCACGTAGACCAAGGTTGTTTCTCAACCTGTCGGTCACGACCCCTTTGTAGGTAGCATATCAGATATCCTGTATATCAGATATTTACATTACAATTCCTAACAGTAGCAAAATTACAGTTATAAACTAGCATCAAAATAATTCTGTGGCTGGAGGTCACAGCAACATGAGGCATTAAAGGGTGAGAGCATTGGAAGCTTGAGAACCATTGCTTTAGACCCTGTCTCAAGACAGAAAGTAGGAAAAGAACCAGGAATATAATATCTGAGTGGTAGATACTGCTCAGAATACTCAAGGCCCTGAGACCAAGCTCTGGTACCACATGCATATATGCACAACCCACAAATTGAAAAAAAGATGTATTAAAATTAAAATATTAAAAAGTACAAAAATGTTAAGAAGATTGTTAGTTGTGGTGATCCTTGCCAATAGATGAGCTGAAGAAGATGGAACAGGGGGATTGTAAATCCAAGACCAATAGGAACTACAGCTTTAACAAAGATAAGTGTCTGTGTTGGCTCGGTGGAGAAAAGCACCTGCTGCCAAACTTGATGACCTGAGTTTTATTCTGGGGATAGAAATGATGGCAAGAGAGAATGATTTCAGAAAGGCCTCTGACCTGTGCATGCACAATGTCATGTATGTGCACACACATGATAAATAAACATAAAAACAAATTGTAAAAAAGACAAAACTGAAGATGTTGTCAGAATGCCCAGCAGGGAATGACACAAGGGTTTTGAACCAAGAGCCTGAAGGAAAGGGAGAGAATTAACATCTGCAGTTTCAGCTGAAGTCTGGGGTGTTAAGAACACTCTAGAACACTGTGCTGGTTATGTCCAGGAGTTTCTTGGTCCCATCTTTCTTTGAGCAGAAACAGCCAGGCTAGGTACAGTGGCAGTCCACACTGCCATGTCTATGAGGTCTCTGACACTTGAGGTTGAAAGCCAGTGTTCAGGGCCCTCTCTATTCCTACAGCCCCAAAGAAGTCAAGGGCCTAGAGGACACAGGGAGGTACTTTTGGAAGGCTCTGGAAACCTGGACATAGAGTCAGCAAAGGGAACTTCGAGTTTATACTTCCCAGCTTCTCATGGTGAGGTGCAAACATGTGAGACTTGCCACATGTTCAGTCTTCATACTTCAACTTTGGCTCCTGCATCTAGAGTCACACTAGCCAGGGTTAGCCAGGATTATTCAGGGTTAGACCAGCCATGTTTACACACTTCCACCACCCAATTCCCACCTGTCTATGACTAACATAGCTCATATATTGAGCACACTTTTTTTGTGTTTAGGAAAGGTGTCATCATGATTGCCTTGATCCACTCTCCCTCAGAATTAGTCAGGTGGAATATGTTTCTCATCATTCATTATCCATCTTGGAACCTTCTTCACCAAACCTTTATTCTATGTTCTAGGATATATATATATTTCAACTTCATAAAACGTGCCTAATTATCACATATGTGGTTGCATACACTTTTTTCTACATTTCATGATGATTAGGGAAAAAACCCATTTTGATGGGCCATGGAAGTGGACCGTCGGTAAAGTGGTTGCCCCTCAAGCATGATGGCCTGAGTTCAATCCAAAGAAGCTGTGTGTGTGCAGAGCTGTGTGTGTGCAAAGCTGTGTGTGTGCAAAGCTGTGTGTGTGTGTGTGTGTGTGTGTGGTAGGCGTTTGTAATCCTGGCACTGGGGAGTTTCCAACAAAGATGGATTCCTGAGTCTCGCTAGGTGATCTGGCCTAATCCGTGAGCCCCATATACCAGAGAGAAGCTTGTCTCAAAACCAATATGGCTTCTGAGGAACGACCCTCAAAGTTGATCTCTGGCCTCACTTGTGTGTATACACAAATGTACATGTGCATCCCACCTAGCCATCTACCTCCTCCCCCAAACACTTGCACTACACTTTCTTTCAGTATAGACATTTTTCTTATGTAGTCAAGTTTATCTTTTTTGGCTTTCAGTTTTTGGTCTTACAGAGAATGACATCATCCTTCAAACTTAAGTTCAAAGAGTCAGGTTTTTTTCCCCTTTAAATGATTTTATACTTTTATTTTTAGTTACATGCCTGAATATTTAATGAGTGACCGTGCCTTCCCCATGTGCCCATGCCCCACAGAAACTGCACTGAAGCAGACAGAATGTTCTTCTTTCTCCTCCTCATCACTGCAAGACAGAAACTACTGCATTGAGAGATAAAAGCATGATCAATATATGACTCATAATGACACTCTGCTCTCCTCATAGGTCAGGGCCTTATCCCCTCATCATCAGAGACGCTTCCTCCTGCAGCAGACTCAGATGCAGAGACCCACAGCCAGACATTAAACACACACACAGACACACAGACACACAGACACACAGACACACAGACACACAGACACACACACACACACACATACACACAGACACAGACACACAGACACAGACACACAGACACAGACACACACACAGACAGACACACACACATACACACACACACACAGAGATTGAGAGAGAGAGAGAGAGAGAGAGAGAGAGAGAGAGAGAGAGAGAGAGACAGACAGACAGACAGAGTGAGTCAGTCCCTGGAAAACATGGCTCTAAATAGGCCCCATCAAATCTCTCCTCTCAGAATTCAGGGAACCCCATGAAAGAGGATGTATAAAGATTGTTAAGAGCCAGGGGATTGGAGGACACCAAGGAAACAAGGGCCTCTGAATCAATTGAGGCTCATATGAACTCACAGAGACAAAAGTCGTAAGCATAGGTCTGTACCAGATTCTCTGTCTTTATATTACAGCTTTTAGCTTTGTATTTTTATGGGATTTCTGAGTGTGTGAACAAGTGAGTCTTTGATTCTTGTGACTGCTGTTAAGATTCTTCCTTTTTGAGGTGGGGGGGAGGTTGCCTTGTCCAACTTAGATGTGATGGTTTTTGTTTCATATTTTATTTTGTCATGTTTGGTTGCTGTCTCTTAGTGCAGAAACATTTTCTTTTCTAAAGAGAGAGAGGGAGTTGATCTGGATAAAAGGGGTTGGGGTGGAACTGGGAGGAGTTGAGTGAGGGGAATCTGTAATCAGGATGGATTGTTTTGTGATGGTTTGAATACACTTGGCCCAGGGAGTGGCACTATTAGGAGGTGTGGCTTGTTGGAGGAAGTGTGTCATTGTGGGTGTGGACTTTCTTTCTTAAAGTTTCTGTTGCCATGATAAAACACTGACCACGTCTGTCTTCTAGACATGGCATGGCCACTGCACTCATGAACTCTCAACAGTTGTTGATACCTGTTGGTGGGTAATCAAAAGGAAGAAGAGAAGACATGAAGTTGGGAAGAGGACATGTGAGGGTATTGTTTTTAAAATAAAATCCCAAATATTTGATTTACCAAATAAAAAAAAAAAGACCCTAGTTCCAGCTCTCTGAAAACCAGTTTTCTCTTAGCAGCCTTCAAGCGAAGATGTAGAAGTCCCAGCTCCTCCTGCACCACGCCTGCCTGGACGATGCTGTGCTCCCACCTTGATAATACTCGACTGAGCCTCTGAACCTGTAAGCCAGCCACAATTAAATGTTGTCCTTATAAGAGTTGCCTTGGTCATGGTGTCTGATCATAGCAGTAACATTCTAAGACATATATGAAAAAAGGAAAAAAAGATATGGTCAAGAACTAGGAAAGGGCTCCTATCTAGGAAGGCGGCATTAACAACAGGGGAGGAGCTCCAATTGGACAGCGTTTCATTGCAGGAAAAAAAGTCAACATTTATTACCAGGAAGCATAGAGGAAAACAATGGTTGCACAGATGGGACATCTTCTGGAAGACTTGCTGGTTCAGGAAGGCGAAGATGGTAGCTTCTGCTGGTAAGGTCTACCTGGGATCAGAGGCTCCCTGGGGAGTAACATATGACTGCTTCTGGCCTCTAGTTCCTTTGTCCTTGACCGGTGTGGATGGTTGTTTCCCTTGGAAGTAGGGAGCTGCTCAAAGCCTACTCTGTTCACACTGTAGGGATGTTGGTCGCAGTCTCTCTGCAGTTTGTCTCTAGTTTCTCTGAATGAATGGTTATGCATCTCGGGGCTTCTATGTGGAAAAAACTCCTTTCCATACTTTGTTCTAATTTCATCTGGGTCAGAGGCTCCCTGAGCAACAATAGCTGACTGTTTCTGGCCTCCAGTTCCCCTGTACTTGACTGGATGGCTCTCTTTGGGACTCATAAGACAGCCAGAGTCCATTCCTTTCTTTGGGCTTTGATGTGGGTCAAAGGCTTTATGGTCAACACCTGGCTGCTGTTTGTGTTCAATTTTTCTGTATCTGGGTGAATGCTTGTGCCTCTCAGGGCTGGCATGGCCACAACTTATTCTGCTTACTGGTCTGCTAAGGTTTGGGTCATAGAGACCCTCAGAAGAGCCAAGCAGCTGGAATGTCAGTGATTCCACTTTACACTCTTGTTCCTTCGATGCACCTACGTAATCGACCAGGTTCTGGACCAGAACATTTATGAAGGATTGTAGTTCATCCACTGTACCGTAAATGTTTTCTCTTTCTATTACCTCCTGTGTCTGCTCAGTAGCCAGTGTAGGGCTTTCATTCTTCAAAGAATCCCCTTCCCTCTTGCAGTTTGTGCTGAGGTTTCCATATTGTGCAGCATCCCTCATGATGTTTTTCAAGGAGCTTTTAGGAGGAGCCTCTCTTTTTCCTTGTTTATATAGGAAGGATTGACTTTCAGTCTTGACTGTACCCTTGAGCTGGGTGGAGCTCGGGATAGAAGGCCTTACTTTCCCAAGACTTTCTCCATGGCTTATGCCTCCAGATTTCAAAATACTTGGTCTCTCTTCATGGGAATGAAATGTGTTGTCATTCTTTGCTGTTATCTTATCCTTGTGGACTCTGAACTCCTGAGTCTCCACACTCTGATCACTCTTCATGAAGCCATGACCCTGGGAAGTCTTGGGGTTTTGGAAGCTGAGAAGTGAGTGCCATGAGGACAAGCTGACCGTGGCAGGGTGTACTGTACTGGGGCCATGAGGATGATGGTTCACAGGTTTGCTTGATTTCAAGTTGACCTTATTATATACTTTTGTTTTTAGAGCTAAGTCCCCTGGGTGTTGAAGGATAGGTGTTTGGAAATGGCCTCGGCTTCTGATGATCTCTACAGACTCAAAGACTGTTTTGATGGTTTGGTCGTTGGGAATCTCACTAGATCCCAGACTCACCCTCCATGCTTGAGGTGGCTCTTCTTTTACCTTCAGTGTGTTGGTTTGTTTGACCACTGAAGGTGGGATACTTTTATCAGGGCCAACTCTTGTTGCACTACAGCAGGGATGTCCTGAGGCCACACCCTCAGACTTCCTCCATGGTGCATGCCTGGCTGTTCCTGGGCTGGTATTTGGTAGCAGGCAGGCTTTCCCAGTTCCTTGGAGAGTCTTGCTCTGCTGAAGTTTTGCCTGGGAACAGGTAGCATGGGGCTGAGCACTCAGGTACCTCTGTTGTGGATCTGGATGGGCCTTTGAGGGCCCATGGCTGGCAGCAGGTGGAGGGGTTCTTTGGGTCTCCTGAACCTCTGGAGGTGAGTGTTCAAAAAGAGAGTTTCGCAGCCTGGCAGTTGATACAGTTGCTACCCTTGTCCCTCCTGGATCTTGATGATGCAATTTTTCCAGGATCATGGCAGCCTTAGAATAGTATTCAGCCTTGGAATCACAGGGTAGTTTCCTTTTGCCTTTCATAGGAAGCTGCATGATGTTTGGTTCCAGCTTCATTTGAGTCTTTGGATCGAAGAAGGAAAGGTCCTTGGTGGTGTTTATAGAGGACAACTTATCTGTCCTTACTGCAGGGTTCCTGGGTTCCAGCCCCTTCCCAGGGCTGCTGCTTGAAGTACAAGGCAGGTGTTTGACCCCCACACCGAGGCCCTTCTTGATGGTATTAGGTATGTCACGTTTTGCTATGGCCTCCTTTAAGGGCACCCCTGTGGGCACAGACCCCATCATCTGGCTCCACTTGAAGCTTTTGGAGTTGAGGCTGGAGGGCTGGGCAGGCTGGGAGAGTTGAGGCCTGCTCTTGCAGTAATGATCACTGTTTGCTGGGAAATGTCCCTGAAGCTGGGTCAGCTCCTTGGATGGGAGGAGTCTGACTGGGATTCCTTGTTGTTCTCCCACAGTAGTTGCCTTGTCTGCATTCAGTGTCTCCTCGTGATGCTGGAGCATCTGACAATGCTCAGGAAGGGTGGAGGCTGACCTGATAGCTTTAATGGGCAGGGTGCTCCTGGACAAGTTGTCAGTGGGCTGGCTAGTGGCTGCTTGATGTTTTTGGACATTAGAGCCTATATTGTCTTTCCAATTCAATCTGTCTTTCCAGGGTTCATTTTCACTTGGAAGGGATACTTGTATCCCTCTTTCAGTGGTAGGACATGCTTTTCCATAGGCCCTACTCTTGACCAAAGAAGGTGTTTGGCTTGGTGTAGAGCTTGGAAGGTCTTCTAGTTCCTGGATCCCTGTCATACCCACCAAGCTTGGTGTCACAAGTTGGTGGGGTAATGGTGGATCCTGGGAAGGCTGTGGTGGTCCTTTAGCCATGGGTAGAGCTTGGACAGGGACACAGGCATCACTAAACCTCACAGTTTTATGTCTTCCTGAGGAAGGTTTTCTGGAGGCCCAGGCGGTAGCCACAACTGACTCAGAGAACACAGAGGATATGCCCCATAAAAGTTGGTTAAATTTATGCTGTATAAGATTCTCTAAGACTCTGAGGTGAGAGAACAGCTGAGAGAGGGTAAGCTGATGCAGTATCTCCTTAGAGTTCCAAAAGGGCCGTGGAGAGGAGTCCAGTAAGGGATGCTTGGCGGAGCTGCAGAAGACAGGAGGCAAAAGCATCAGCCCCAAACAGAGGATCAAGAGGCCCATCAGTTGGTGTAAATATGGCACATGTATCCCACAGACCTCCTGTACCTCCACTACCTCCATATCCCACATCCCTTAGTGTCACCTCAAACAGGGCTCTACTCTAATCCCACCATGTATAGTATGTTCATTATGAAGAGCTCCAGAGTCTGAGGTCAAATCCTGAGTTGTGGTTTGAATAGTTGCACAAATGGTTGATTTCTTACCTTTCCATAGGTGGTGATGCATTCTGGGTATCCTGAGCATTCTTTCTGTTGTTTCTATAATCTGAAAATAAAGACCATGTTATGGAAAATACACACACACACACACACACACACACACACACACACACACACACACGCATACATTCCATGAGAATGTGAGAGGCACCTCTCATAAACACCATTCAAGCTAGGACTCTTAATGCCCAACCACCAGAGTCTAGGGACACACAACACTGAAAGTGAGCAAGAGGAAGGGAAGACTTCATCTCTCTATTCACACTTTCTGTGCTCTTCCCTGAACCTCTCTTATTCCCCATACAACACTGTGAAAATTAGTTATCTGAAAGAGAAATGCAGCTGGAAGAATCGAAGCTACCTGCTGTCAGGGAGACTTGGGAGTCCCCCATAGAGGGGCACAGCATCACTCCAGTGCCTTGAACAACACTCCCATGGGCAGCACCCATCCCTGGCCAAACACAGCTTCTTCCTATCACAATATCTAACGATTCCCTGATTCTGATTTACTTCCCAGCAGCCCGTCCTTCCTTTCTGCATCTCCTGTCCTCAGATGCATGGCTCTCTTTCATCACGATGCTCATCACTGAGGAGCAGGCCAGCTCGAATTTCTCTCCACAGGAAAGCAGACACCTACCTTTTCCAGCAGCAGTTTTCTTCCTGGTGTCGCTGTGCCCCCTCTTCACATCCTGCCAAATAGAAACAACACAAATGAGCTGGGGACCCTTCTCCCTCTCTCTGGTAGACAAGCTGCCTGCTCTGTGCTTATGGAGAACATGAACTCTCTATTTTCCAAGAAGTGTTCTCTCATCCATCCTTCCTTGACTCACTCACACTGTGCACAAACACAGTTCCTTTTGGCCTTGTTGGGAAAATAGCAGAAAGGGCTGTCTATGTGACACTTACCATGGATGTCCTCAGTCAGTGTTCCTGAGACAGGATCCTGCCCAAGGCTGAGCTCTGCAGCTGCCTCTGTGCTGTCAGGTGATATCTGCTTCCTCAGACCAGAGGAGACTCAAACCCTGATCTGAGGCCCTTGTTCTTATCACCTGCTTCACATCAGCTCAACCCAAACAAAAGCAAATGCCTGAGCAGAAGACAGACGATCTTTCTCATAGTTTGTTCTGTGTCCTTACCAGCTCAGTAATGCAGTTTGTGCATGGAGCCATGGTTGTCCTTAGTGGCCTCTCTGCTACCCTGTACAGATGCTCAGAGATTCAGGCAGACACCTCAGGCCACACTTACTTACCTCTGCCCTGCTGAGGTGCTAGTGTTCTTTTTGGAGATTTCTGTTCACCTGTTTGTAGCTAGACTTTAGCTCCCTTGTAGGTTCTTTCTTCCACCTTTTTCCACCCCCTTTCTTCCACCCATTCTATCCCTAACCCTACATAGGAGAGAAAAAAAGGATAGAGGGAAAAGGGGACAAAGTTATTGTTAGACTCTTTCTTGCTGATTTGGGCGGTTGAGTTTCTTGGGGCAAGTTTGAGCTTCACCTTTGGGATATCCAATTTCTTTGTTGGACTTGACACTTACCATGGATGTCCTCAGTCAGTGTTCCTGAGACCGGATCCTACCCAAGGCTGAGCTTTGCAGCTGCCTCTGTGCTGTCAGGTGATATCTGCTTCCTCAGACCAGAGGAGACTCAAGTTCTGATCTGAGGCCCTTTTTCTTATTACCTGCTTCACAACAGCTCAACACAAACAAAAGCAAATGCTTGAGCAGAGGACAGATGATCTTTCTCTCAGTTTCTCCTGTGTCCCTACCAGCTCAGAAGTGTAGCCTGTGCATGGAGGCACAGTTGTCCTTAGTGGGCTCTCTGCCTCCTTGTACAGATGTTCTGAGAGCTTCAGGCAGACACCGGAGGGCACTCTCACCTCTGCTCTGCCTGTCAGCCCCTGAAGAGTCTCTCTGGAAATTTCTCCTCTCCTGTCTGTAGCTAGACTTTAGCTACTTTGCAGGTTCTTCCCCTCCTCTCCATTCTTCTCCCCTTTTTTCCCCACTCATTCTATCTCGTAACACTACATAGGAGAGAAAAAAGGATAGAGGGGAAGTGGGTGAAATTATTGTTAGACTAATTTTTGCTGAATAGGAG